TTTATAGTTTCATCAGGACAGATAAATTTGCTGTGTTGCATGGTAAAGCTTCTCTTAAAAACTGGATCTGTCAACAACTGTCCAAGAGCAACACATTTAATGTCACCACTTGCACAATGAAAAAAAATATTAGGGGTTAAACGTGAATTACATCATTATAAGTAGCATTTTGGTCAAAACTGTAGTAATTTTAACATTAATATTAGTTTGTATTCAAATGATTTACATTTAGAGTGCTCAAGTGCAGCAGTGTGAACAAGTGCTAATGTTATTTAGAGTTTTTAGGAAAGAAAAAACAGCATTTGTGACACTTCGCCGCAGCGTTTTTGAGGTATAAATGCTGTGTCAGATGCCACTTTGAAAATGTTAAGATGGCTTATGATAACCTGGTCCCAAAAGAGGTCTTATTTTTTGATAACAGAAAAAGAGGAATATGAGCAGTAAAGTGTGTTACCTGCTGCGGTGTCTTGATGGTACACGCCCTCTCTCATAGTCCGCTTTATACCGTGGGCTGTCTGACCGCCTGCGCTCTGAACTGCACCCTCTGTCCCGTTTGTCTCCTCCAAACTCTCGGTTATGCCGGCCTCCATATCCTCCATAACTGTGGCCCCTGTGCCGGTGGTCATCATAGTGACGAAGTCTTTCCGGGGAGCGGGAACAGGTGTCCGACTTGTATTGCAGAGGCGGGCGGGAGCGTTCAGGTTTGAAGGAACCTCCGGGCTGCATGTAAGCTGGGTTGAAGCTCGGTGGAGGAGGGAGCTGTAGCTGTGGAGGGTAGCTCATGGGATATGATGGCGGGTAGGGCATGGAAGGTGGCACTGAGGGTGGCACAGGTGGAAGCGGTGGAGGGGTGACGGTGGGCATCATGTAAGGGTAAGAGCTCTGAACCGGAACTGAAGCGGAGCTGTCTGAATTGTGAGGAGCAGGTGGAGGAAAAGGGGGCGGCTCTGGGAAGACTGGTGGGCGTACGGGGCATTGGGGCAGAGCATTAGAGCCCTGTGAGGGTGCAGGGAAATGGAATGGCATGAAGTCAGGATGAGGTGGCATGTAGTTACTGCCGCCTTGAGGGTTATAGATAGGACCTGGAGCAGCCGAAGGGTTGTAGTGATACCGTGGAGGAGCAGGACGATACATTGGGACCGGAGCGGCTGGTCTTCCCCTCGGGCATCCATGGCCAGCGTTGAAAGACATCTGTAAAGAAGACATGGATGTGAGAAAGATGTGGATAGAGCCAGAGACCTTCTTATAAAGATGTTGTACAACTTGGATCATATAAAGACACCAATGTGACTGAAACACTTTCAACACAGTCAGAACTAAAGAAACGCATCTGCATTAGGGCTGCACGATAAATCGCAATGGAATCGAGATCGCGCACAGTGAAGCACTGTTCTGTGATCAGCAGTAAATCTCCATCCAAAGGCCAGAGGGCGCTCTCGTGCTGAAACTCCAAA